CTGGTTTCCACTGGAGGTTTGAGGAGTTAACTACCGGTTCATACCCTGCCATAATGGGTGTGTGTGAGACATTGGAAGTGGGGAGGGCTGGGAATTCGCTGGGAACATGCAGTGAAAATGTGTGTGCCAGTACTGATTGTGTAATTTGTGGGTTCACCCACAAGACGTCTTAGAGATGAGGGAAGGAGCTTTGTGCCTGGCTTCTCTTGTTTTCAGAAACATTGCTTTCCAAGAGGCCCCGTCGCGTCACCCTGGAGAGCAGGGTTCAAAGAGTGGCCTCCTTCCAGCCGACCCCATCCTGCCAGGTCCCCAGCAGGACCTTGGGGCGAGCAGGGTGTTGGAAGGAGTTGATGATGTGGAGTAAAGGGGACATTGGGGCCTGGGTATGCACAAAAAGGCCTTTCTGCTTTCTGGGTCTCTCCGGCCCAGAGACCAGGTGGAAGACACCACTGGGCCCTCTGCTCCCAGAATCTTCCTTCAGAACGGCTCTCCTTGCTCTTAGATGGAAGCCATGCCTGAGGGCGGGTTGCCAGAGGGTGCCAGGTGCCTGCTGACCTTTCTGGGCCACACACACTCCTGTGCTATCTTTTGTCTCGGAGCTTTCTTCCCGCTGGCTCTGCTGCCTGGCACACTCCGGGAGGCTCATTCGCATCCCCCTACCCTTCTCCCACCCCAAGACCAGGAGGCTTGCAGTCCTGCCCTGCTCTCCTCTGTGCTCACAGCCCAGGGGACAGGCGCCTGCTGCATCTTCAGCCTGGGCTGCACGAGGCTTGGCTGATCGGCCGTCTGCCGCAGGACCACCCGCATCACCAGTCAGCTGAGCTGCAGGTGACCAGTTGGCCCAGAAGCATGAGAAACGCATCTAGGCAGAAGCTTCTGGGTTCTAGAGCCATTTGCCACGCAGCTGAGGCTGACGAATACACCTGGTTATGACCTACTCACCCTTTAGGTCTTGCCTGGCCCTTGTCCTACTGTCTTGTCAGCACTTTTCTCTGCGCCTGTGCCCCCAGCTCCCCTGTAGTCCTAGTGAGACTGAGGACAGCCTCCAGCCTCACCTTGCACTTGTGCTCAGTGGCGCCTGGTGCTGCTGGTGGCTTCACGAATGCATGAAGCCAGTGGGTGCACGAGGGCCCTGGGCGGGAGGAGCCCAGCTTTGGAGCCATCTTGGGTCTGACATCCACTCTGCCCTTCGCTGCATGACTGTGGACAAGTCACTTATCCCACCTGAACCTCAGGTTTCTCATGTGAACATGGGGGTAACCACCCAGGTTTCGAGGGGAGGTGCTGTGTGCAAAAGGCCAGGCTGAGACCCGGGCACACAGTAGGTTCCCGACACACCATACTCTCCCTCTCTTTGCAACCCTACTCTGTGTGAGGCCACCCCTCCTGGGTGCCCTGTGAACTCGCACCGGCCCACGCCTCTCTGAGTCTCACTTTCCTCACCTGCCAAGTGTGGGAGTGATAATGACAGCGGCTGTGGTGCTGAGGGCGAAGCAGGGTTCTCACTGCTGCGAGGGAGCCCTGGCCTGGAGGTCACCGGTCTCCAGCCACCTCTGCTGGGCCTTGGTCTTCTGGCTTCACTTCTGTCCTTCCCACCCACTCTGTCTCTGCTCCAGGGACCCCCATGCCTCTGATGGGCACAACAGAAGCCGTGGGCTGTCCCCTGTCTTGACTGTTCCATCTCCAGCCACCCCTCAGCCCTGACCTGGGCTTTCCTGACCCACTCTTGTGAGGACAAGGGTCTGCTAACATTCTGGGGTACGTGTGCTTATTCCAGCCTTCAGAAGGCGTTTGTTTAGTCACCCCTTCCTCACCAGGCGCATGTGGGGGTGAGGAAGACTACAGCATATGGAGGGGGACGCCAAGTGGCTAGGACCCTGCGGACAGGATGGCTGGGACAACTGCCTCTCACTGGGCAGGGCCTGGCATCCTCCATCACGGACCTGCCACCTGCCCCAGCCCAGCCTCGCTGGGGAAGAGGCTAGCCAACCCCAGCCCCTCTCTCGGGGGGCCTCTGTTTTCTCTGGCTGGGTCCAGGGTCCTGTTGCCACCTTTGGCCAGAGCTCCCCTGCATGATGTCCCCTTGTCTGGGTCACATGGAAGGAAGAACTGACCACCTGGTCCCACCCAGGCCACGTTACTCACCTTTCTGTGCTTCAGGTCTTTCATCTGTCAAAGAAGACCCGCAGGCCCTTCCTCAGAACGGTGCTGGGAGGCCGATGAGTTAATCGAGGAACGTACTGGGCACAGAGTGGGCACAGAGCAAGTGTGGTGCATTTGCTGTGATTTTCCTGGTGACATGAGCATCTTCCTTGTATTTCTTGCAAATGGGGATCTGCACACCCTGTGCCTGGGGCCTGCCAGCCCTGGGTACCTAGGAATAAGTTGTGATGTGGGGCCTAGACCAGATCCTAATTTCTTAAAATAGTTGTTTTTCTGGATGCAAAGGTAATCCATGCTCCTTATAGGAGGCCTGGAAAACACAGGGGGCAGCCAAAAGATACAAAAGCCTCTTGCATTTTCACTTCCTACTGACAACTGCTAACGTTATCTAAGCCTCTTTCTGGTTTTTTCTCAAACGCCTTTGCTCGAGCACACACTCAGGCAATATATACCTATGTTGAAAACGTAATTGCAGATGATTTTGAGATTGCACTTTTCATTTTATTATACCATATTTTAAAGTTTTCTCACGTCACATGCATTTGTCCACAGCCTGAGTTATGCTGGCTGCAGCCATCCGTCTTATGGATGTGTCATTTAAATGACTCCTCCTGTTTTACTCTTATAGAGATAGCTGACGCGACTGCCTTCTAGTACATTTTTATGCAAATCCATGACAGTCTTTCCAGGGTAAATTCTTAAAAGTGGATACACTGGGATGAAAAGTATTTACATTTATAATACTTTTGATACAAACTGCTCAGCTGGTCTCCAAAAAGCAGTAGCGGGGCGGGATGCCCTCTCTCCCTCGCCCCTTCTGCAGCGGGCAGCAGTGTGAACCTGGAAATCCAAGTACATTACACACAGCATCATTGTGGTAAGCCTGGAAAATGTGGGCTTACTGTGCCTACAGCTGCTCCCACAAGCTAGAGCTCAGGCCTCAGGCCAGTGGGGATAGGGATGGGGACTCCGGCCATGGCAGGAGTCCCTGTTGTGCGTCCAGCTCACCTGCCCCTGCCCCTGTCAGATGTGGAGCACCACACGGCCCTGTAGGGATAGGTACGGCCAGGGCTCTGCACAGCCAAGGAAATGCAAGTGGAGGCCGTGCGTGGTATGTCGTATGTGTGTGGGGCCTGTATGTGTGGGATGTATGTGATGTGTGTGGGGTATGTGTGCCTGTGATATGGTGTGTGGTGTGTGTGTATGGGGCATATGTGCATGTGATGTGTGTGTATGAGGGGTATGTGTGCATATGATGTGATATGTGTATTGTGTGTGTGCAGGGTGTGTGTGTACCTCTCAGGCCACAGTCTCTTCCTGGGGGGTGTGAGAGCGTGTACCTCTCAGCCTGTCTCCCACCCTTCCTGGATCAGCAAGGCCCCACCCTCCCCGCAGGCCCACGCGATGAGAGATGAGTTTCCGTGGCTTGCCCCCACCATGGCCTGCCAGCTCAATGTTCTCCGTGGTGCCTGCTGTACACACCACCCTGGGAGGGGCTGAAGGGCGACGCCGTCTGAGACAGAGGTCCCGACCTGAGTGCGGCGGCGGGTCAGCGAGCCCCGGGCCTGGCAGGGCCCCTGGAGCTCCTCATTGCATGCTCTGGGGCTCTTAGGGGCTGGCTTTGGCCAGAGCAGAATGAGCAGTGGTGTCATGAGGTGACTGCCAGGAGACGCAGCTGCCCAGTGGCCCTGTCTGCACCTCTAACCGTTGGGCCCAACTAGACCTCCAGCACCCCGGTAAGAGTGAGAACAGGGGTGACACTAGGCCCAGACCCAGGTGAGCCCGGGCAGAGCCTGTCGAGGGTGGAGAACAGCAGGTTCGGGTGTGCCCTGTGTGGCGTCAGAGCCTGCTGAGGTCACTGCAGACCAGGCCCCGACCCAGCTGTGTCCCCACAGTCACTGTGGTGTGTGTGGTGGGCTTGGGCCCCGTGTCGCCTCCGGAGTGCCCGGTCACGTGGCCTCCCATTGCCTGTGGACGCTGCTTCGGCCAGCAGCCTGGGTCTGCCTTCCTTCTACAAAGCGGTTTTGGATGTGGATTGAGCAGTCATTTTGGGTGAGAATTTGCCTGTGTAATGTTAACTAAACCCTCTTAGGTTATTTGTCCTATTTTGCACATGAGGAAACTGAGGCTTGGAGTGGCTGGGTCACTTGCCCGACAGCCTCTGGGTGAAGAATGGGGTTTTACATCCAGGCTCTCTGTGGCCAGGGCCCACCTTCCTAACCCTTGGCCTGAAACTCAAAAGCTTCTGAGCCTTGCTTACGTCCTGGCAGACACGGAATGTGGCCGGGGCTGTGCACTGCACCAGGACAAACTGCAGGGGACTCGGGCCCCTAAACACGGGGCTTGGTGAAAATGTCCACAGGTTTTCATATTAGATAATGTTAAGAAAAAAATGCTAAGGAGTAGGGAAGGTATTGAATATTGAATTTATATAAAGCTTCCAAATAAAACCCTTTCACAAATTTAAAATCAGAGACTGAGCCTACACTTGAGTTTTCTTTACATCGGCTTATACGTGAAAGGCCTGGGATAATTTCTGGGTTGATCTCCCCAGATTGAGGATAAGAAACTCTAGCAAGGGCTGAGAACAAATGGCTGGAGAGTATGGTGGCTGCTTTTCAGCCTGGTAAAACCTCTTTTCTCTCCGTAAACCAGAATTCAAATAATCCAGTTGCTCTGAATTGAACTCATTCTTCTAATCTAACAACCGTCTTTTTCTTTCGTTGACAAATATAATATGAGAATTTTTTGTGATAATGCGAATGGATTTTGAATCTAATTGAACTTTTTATATCAACTATTTCAAAATAACGATAACTTTTTCCTCACATCCACAGATGTTGCTCCCAGAACCTTAATGATCCTTCTTGAGGATTCAGATGATAACCCCTGCTAAACACCATTGGTGAGTGGTTTCTGATTTCACTTTTCTAAAGGTGACGTTTTTGCTTCGAATCCACAAACTTTATCATTAAATGTCGCCGTATTTTCATGTGATTCTTGCAATTTTCAAATAAGTTCATTTCAGTGCTCCAAAATGTCCCTGAAGTAAGCTGTTTTTGAAGTCAGTGACTATGCGTCAATAAATCTGCAAAGTGAGGCTTCTCCTGCATTTCAGGGCTTATACTCCAGCCCAGGCCCTCCCCTGGGCAGCTGCCACTCTGCAGGGGGAAGCAATACTGGGGTTCTGACCCCATTTTCTTCTCAGAAAGCTGAAAATAGCTGGGAGTGCAGCAGCTGGTATTTACCAAGTTCCCTGATTTTATCATTTCAGCTCTACAGGCGCATTTTGCATAGAACTTGAACTTGAGGCTTTCAGAATGCGTTCTCTCCTCCCTCCTGTCCTCACAGATGTGAGGTACTCAACGTTTCCATGATGCTTTCCGCGTGAGCATGGGCCACTGTGAGTATTTAATTCCCAGGAGTTTGCTTGGGTACTTTTTTGGCAACACAGATGATGTTTTTCATGCATTTCTCTCCAGGGATTTATTTCTGCAGGTTTGGGTGATCGCCCCTACACCCTTGATCCTGGTATTAGACATCTTGGCTTCCTTGTGGTCTTTTGTGTGGACCCCTCCAGTTCCCAGAGATACTGTGGCCACTGGCATTTCAGCAGGCCTGGGTAGGCCTGGTCGACCTGGTCTCAGGACCTGCCCAGTGATGTTGAGAAACCCAGGCGGTTCCATAAGCCTTGGCATGGTGGGGACACTGACCTAGTGATATGGTTTGGATTTGTGTCCCCACCCAAATCTCGCGTAGAATTGGAGGAGGGGCCTGATAGGAGGTGATCGGATCACGAGGGAATTTCCCTGTTGCTGTTCTCTTGAGAGTGGGTGAGTTCTCATGAGCTCTGGTTGTTTAAAAGTATATGGCACTTCCTCCTTCACTCTCTCTCCTGCTCTGCTATGTAAGACATGCCTGCGTCCCCTTTGCCTTCCGCCGTGATTGTAAGTTTCCTGAGGCCTCCCAGCCATGCTTCCTATTAAGCCTGCGGAACTGTGAGTCAATTAAACCTCTTTTCTTCATAAATTACCCAGTTTCAGGTAGTTCTTTATAGCAGTGTGAGAATGGACTAATACACCTAGTTTCTTGTTTCTCTGAAAAAGAAGGGACCAGCTAGGAAATTGCCCTCATCTCCTTTCCCCTGTATCTGTCAGCCTCTGTCATGGACCTATGTTCTGTTGGATGAACTGCCCAGGTACCTAAGGTCCACCTAAGGTCACCCGAGGTCAGCTGAGGTCCACTTGTGCATGGACTTCCACACCTCTTGTCCCCTGCAGGGTATCTCTCCGGCTTCCTTCCCTTCTTGCTGAGTCACCATCTTCGTGTCCTGCTGGGTCACGATCATCAGCCACAGATGGGCTATGCCAGCTCCCATTTTAGAAAGGGAACCTTCCTTGACCCTAAGGCACCTCCAGCCAATGCCTATTTTCCCACTTCCAGCCAGCCGCCAGACCCTCCCCCAAGTCCCTCTTCTTCATCCCAGCCCCCCATACCCTGACCTTTATGCAATCGCTTCCTTCCTTATACAGCTTATTTTATTTTACAACATTTTATAGCTTTGCCACCTGGGTAGGTATCCTTAAATAACGGCTTGGTTTTACATGTTCTAAATATTTATGTAAATGAAATGATACAGTACTGATGTTTGTGTTTGGCTTGTTTGACTCCACATGGCATTTTAAAGATTAAGCCATTCTATTGTGTGCAGCTGCAGTGCGTCCGTTTTCATCGCTGTGTACCAAGATTTATTTATCGGTTTTGCTGCTAAAGAATGTTTAGGTGCTGGAGCTCTTGTGCAAATCTTTCTGCTGAATGTGTACCTCAGAGTGAAACTGTTGATCATAGCGTATGTGCGTCTTTCAGTGTCTCAGAAAATCGGAGCCCTTTGCTGTGGATTCAGTGTGTACGGTATTGGATGAGGGAGTCCCTTGCTCTGCCCTCCCATCAGTCCTTGTTATTTTAGCTCATTTGGTGGATGTGCAGTGATTTCTCGTTGGGATTGTAATGTGCATTTCCCTGATGACTCTCAGGCACCACCGTCTACATTTACTGGCCAGTTGGAGACTTTCATTTGTGCTGTGCTTATTCAAGTGCCGGATCCATTTTCCTACTGAATTTGCAGGAGTTTGTTATATGTTTAGATACGAGGCTGTTGTCAGTTATATGTGTTGCAAATATTTTCTGTCACTGCTGATCTCGCCTTTGGACTCTTTTACTGGTGTTTTTGGATGAGCAGAAATACTTAATTTTTATGTGGCCAAATTCATCCACCTTTTCCTTTATGGTTATTGCATTCTGAATCTTGTTCAAAAATCTTTTCTCAACTGAAGGTCATGGAGAAGTTCTCTCATATCCCTTTAAAAGCTTTATGAAGTGTTTTGACTTTCACTTTTGGATCTCAGTCTGTCTGGAATTAATTTTTGTGTCCTATGAGAGGTAAGAGGTCAAGTTTCATTTTTTTCCCGTATAGATAACCAACAGTCCCCAAACCATTTCCCCTTTCTGTTATTCTGCAGAGCCAGGCACTTCTAAATCCAGTGTTCACACATAAATGGCCATTTCTGGCTCTTTATTCTCTCTCATTGCACCAAAAACCCACCTTTTTCTTTTCTTTTCTTTTTTGAGACAGGGTCTCTCTCGCTCTGTTGCATAGGCTGGAATGCAGTGGCATGATCTTGGCTCACTGCAGGCTTAACCTCCTGGGCTTAAGTAATCCTCCTGTCTCAGCCTCCTGAGAGTAGCTGAACCACAGACATGTGCCACCATGCCTGTTTAGGTTTTTTATTTTATTTTTTATTTTGGAGAGACAGGGTCTCGCTATGTTGCCCAGGCTGGTCTCAAACTCTTGGGCTCAAGCGATCCTCCCTCTTCAGCCTCTCAAAGTGCTGGGATTACAGGTGGGTGTCATGGCACCTGGCCAGCCTTGTCTTAGCTACAGAAGCTTTGTAAGAAGTCTTGGTGTCTGGTGGAGCGAATTCTCTCAGGTTTTTCTGGCTTCTCAACAGTGTCTTTTCTATTCTTGCCTTTTGGATTTCTGCATAAATTTTAGAACTACCATGCCCAGTTCCACAGAAGTTCTTTCTGGGATTTTGATTGGTATTTTATAGAATCTATAAATGCAGAGAGCACTAACATCTGGGTAATATTGAGTCCTCCAATGAATGCAGATTTTCTCCCCATTTTTTAAGGGTTTCTTTAAAATTCCTCAATAATGTTTTATAGTTTTCTGAATAAAGACCTTTTACAGTTTGTTGGATGTACTTCTTCTTCAACTTTTCAGATGCTATTGTAACTTTGTTTCTGAGCTTTTCTCATTGAGGTACCATTTGTATACAATAAGTTACACAGAATTTGGAGTGCTGTTCAACGAGTTTTGATGTGCGTGTCCACGTAGGTAACAAGATCTCAATCAAGAAAATTCCCTGATGTCTCTTTCTGGGCAATTGTCCCATTTCTCGTGTTGACACACTGCTGTTGGGATATTTGTCACTGTAGATTAGGTTTCCCTGTTTGAGAACTCTGTATAAATGAAATTATCCAGCATTTGTCCTTTGGTACCTGGCTTCTGTCGTTCCACATCATGTTTGTGAGGGATTCATCTGTGTCATTCTGTGCCTCTGTAGACATTCCTTTTTATCACGAGAATGGTATTTCATTGCATAAATTGGTTTTCTATCTATCCACCTGTTGATGGCTATATGGGATACTTTTAGCTTTTGGCAAGTATGGGTGAAGCTGCTATGAACATTCTGGGCAAATTCTTTGTGTGGATATGTATTTTCATTTTCTTGAGTAACTTTGAACCAAGTGGAATGTCTGGTTCAAAGAAGGGAGAAATGTTTTACTTTGTAAGGAAATGTAAAAGCGTTTTCCAAGTGGGTGACCATTGTATATCCCTCCAGAAGCCAGTGTCTGGAAGTCCTCATCGTCCACACCCCTCACATTTGCTGCTGTCAGCTATCTGAATTTTGGCCTTTCCAAGTGGATATGAAGTAATGGTCACTGTGATTTTAGTAGGCATCTAAGGTAGCAAAGGATGCTGAGGGCCTCTCACATGCTTACTGGCCACATGTATACCTTCTTGTGTGATGTGTCTGGTCAAGTCTACTATTCCTTTTGAAGGCCACTTTATGAAGATATATTACACATACAATAATGCAGTCACTTTAAGTGTACAGTTTGATGAATTCTGACAAATGAGTGTAACCAGCACCACAGTCAAGATATAGAATATTTCTATCACCCCAGATTCCACCATGACCCTTTTCAGCCAGTCCCCAACCTTCTCCCCCAGCCCTATGCAACCAATGGTCTGCTTCCTGTCACTAGAGATTAGTTTGGTTTGTTCTAGACTTTTCTAGAAATGGAGTCATAGTAGGCATTCTGTGGGTCTGGATTTCTTCATTCAGTGTGGTGATTCTAGATTCATCATGTTGTTGTATGTTGTATGTTTACTCATTTTGTAGTGAGTAGTATTCCATCGGACATTTATACCACAGTTTTATACATTCACCTGCTGGTGTCATTTGGATCGTATTCAGTATTTGGCTCTTATAAATACAGCTATAAATGTTTATGTATGACTTTTAAAAAGTCATCATTTATGTTAGATGAATACTAGGAGTAAAGTGCCTGAGTCATAGGGTAGGTGTATGACTAAGATTTAAGGAATTTCAAGGTGACTGTAGCATTTTATGCTACTTGAAGTCCCATCGACTCCACATTCTCTCCATTTGGTATGATATTTTTGCCATTTTCGTGAGTGCAGAGTGGTATCTGAGTGTGGTTTCAGGACTGGAAGGTTCTATTTTCTAATAAGACCAGACAGCTTAAGGAACTAAAATGGACTTTGAAGAGCCTGGAAAGACACCTTGGAAAATGGTTCCAAACCTTACCAATGGGAAAGGAATGTCACTTCCTGATAAGCCCACAAATCTCAGATATTTGGGGGACCTCAAGAAAAGAGGAATTTGCCAAATCTATAAGCGTTACAGATGAAGCCTGTTGGCACGTCCTCGGCCTGGCTTCCTCACCGTCAGAGGCTTCCACCAGTTCAGTCTGAGATTCCTTATCAAAAGATCCAGCAAAGCCAACCTTGAAAGAGCCTGTATAATCAACCACTATTCTTGCTGCACATGTGTAGATATCCAGGCAAAGTTTAATGAAAATAAACTTATTTTGCAAACAGCCCAGTCTAACTGATTATCTTTGGTATAAATGGGTGTGACTTTAGAGAGAAAAACTACGTTTCAGAAGAAAACTTTAGCTGAAGCTCCAGCTGAGTTTGGATGAGGTTGGATGACCTGAAATAAACTTCAGAGAAAATGACATGACAGGTCATCAATGGACAACCTTCATGACATCCAAACTGCAAACTAGGAAAATCTGCCATCTTCTAGG